AGACCTAATAGACTGTGTTACCTTTATTATAAAATGCAGATATGTGTTGCGGCTCCTGACCATAAAAAATGCCAAAAATGGCTCTTTTGATAGCAAAGGTTGGTGACCCCTGGCCTAGTCTCCTAAAGGGGCAGGGCAGTGGGGAAACCCACATGACACAGATACAGGAAATGAATCTGAAGTGGCCTGTCTCAGTTCATCAGTGGTCTCTGTGTTAACTCAGTGTTGCTAGGACCCAACTATATACACCACCCGCGTGTGAAAGGGATTGTTGGCCACAGACAGCATCTGCCTTTTGTTTTTTCATGCCAGCTAGCCTAAAATTAATTAAATAGTAATTTATCAATATTAAATCAAATTAAGTATTCATTTATTTTATTAATTGTTTTGTAGTAAAGGAAAAAAGAAAACATTTCTCTTACTAATCAGAAATTAAATAAAAGGTATTAGGTTTTATATTTATTTTTATACCCCAACTGTATCCTTTTCTGATTATTGTTTATTCAAGGATTCCCTGTTAGGAACACATGAATGTGCCTCTGGTCCTCCTGGGATCCTGCACATTGGAATACAGTACAAAGACAAAATGGGAGTACAGAGAAATTAAGATCTAAAGACAGTCAAACTGATGCTTAAATGAAAGAAATTAGGGATAATGTAATCATAGACTGAACCATAGCAACAGACAGAAAAGACACTACAAACCTAAGTGATAAAAACACAAGCAGAGTAAACAGATTCATTTGTAAAGGAATGAGGATAATGATAAAAATAAAATAAGTACATTAAAATAGTGCTATGTGTGCTTATCTTGTTATATGGCAAGATATTTCTTTGTATGCTCATCTTTTAGGCCTTTAGAGTTCCCACCTCACCTCCTCAGCACAATATTAATTTTCTGTTTTTTTTTTTAAATATAGTCTAAATTGAGAAATCCAGTGTAAATGTCTGAAATGAGCTCAAATTCCCATCTGCCTGAGTGAATCAGTTTCGGGTTATCTGCACCGGAAGCAGCCTCCTTTAAGCATATTTGCACTGATGGATATTGAAAGATAAAGACGGCCCTTTTTCCACGCAATCATTTTATCTTTAATTATGTGCTTTATTAGTGGCACTTTTTATATGGAAATGTGATTATATTAACACGACGTACATATTGTAGGTTTATTTAAAGCAGCTCTGTTTTTAATTTGGCACTTTTCCTTCAAAAAAAAAAAGAAAAGGAGGGTTTGGGGGGGCGAAGTGGCTATTTGAATATCTTTGATGCTCCTTTCAGAGTGTCTTCCTGATGCAGATTCACAATCAGCTCTCCGCCTGTCTGTCGGCTTTCTGCAGGAGAGATAGTGCTCTCTTCATTACGCGCTTCATTAATTTAAATGCTAATTGATTCTGCGAGGGCCTTTCAGACCGAGGGCCAAGTCCTGTCTCCCCCATTGATTGTGTGTGTGTGTGCGCGTGTGTGTTTTGTGCACCTGCTGGATCCTGGAGTGACACGTCCTGACAGAACAGCCTCTCCTGCCTGTCTGTCTGCCTCAAGTGTGCCACTGATATGGTTTGAGTGCTTCAAGCCAGAGAGACAAGTACTGCACACACAAAAAAAGGGAGCCGGGCTCAGAGGGTAGTTTCGGGGCCATAAAAGCACAGAAGATGTGAATAAAGGCAGTTGGCATACTGTATGTAACTGGGTGGATAAAACAGAGGATGCAGGGGCAGTTAAATGATCCGTGCGGCGTTGCTAGGAGACACCGGGGCTGGATGGTAGAGATAAACGGTGGGATCCACCCCTGGCGGCGAGCAGAGGGTGGGAACGAGTGAGGGGAGGGGGAGGCAGAGGGTAAGAAAGGGAGAGTGGAGATAAGAGGGAAGGGGGGGGGGGGGGGGGGGGGGGGGGGGGGGGGGNGGGGGGGGGGGGGGGGGGGGGGGGGGGGGGGGGGGGGGGGGGGGGGGGGGGGGGGGGGGGGGGGGGGGGGGGGGGGGGGGGGGGGGGGGGGTGACTCGTGTGACAAAGACAGAGGCATCCTCGTTCATGGAGGATAAGCTTTCTGTTCTCCCTCCATCCCTTGTTTCTCTTCTTCTCGTCTGTTACTCAGAAAAGTTGGTCAGTTGTTTTCTTCAGGGAAATCCATCCTTCATGTGTTCAGTTTACCACAAAAACACCAAAAACAAAAATACATCTACTCCTTCTTCTCTAAAAAAATCCAGAATATATAGGCTAAATATGTACATATTGTTAAGTATTGTAAAAGTTTGATTTGTAAACACAAGATGTCTCCTATTAAAGTGTTGACATCACTGACTTTAGAATCTTAGAGGATGCAAATACAGCTCTACTCTACTCTCTACTCAAACTTGCAACACCTTAACCTCTGCTCTTATCCCGCCACATTTCCCCCTGATGCTGCTGGGCACCGTTAAAATATAACAGCAACCAGCCATGTATCATGCTGACGTTAAAGGACAGCTTTTGTCATTGGTGTCTGATGCCGCAAGTCACTGCCCAAGCGCCAGATTTCGACAACTTCAGAGTGAGACTGGGTTGAATACACTCACACCAAATAAATCCCTCCCAATCATCACTTATGATCCACTAGAAGTGTGTGGCAGTGTGTGTTTCTGCAGGGACTCTGCCCTTGCCTCTTATTTTGCCTTGTTCAGGACATTCCTGGGCACTGGAGGCTTGGAGGTGCAGGCGGTGTGGTTGCACTGGGGCCCATGGAGGTTGGGCATATGTGTTGGGGTGAGAATGGGCCTTTGCAAGTGTTCAAAGAACTCTGGTTAAATATAATGCCATTTGTCAAATATGCCCTCAAAAAGGCAAACCAATCTCTATCACAGTTTTCAATTTTTTGGGGGGTAAAATAGTAGCAATCTAAAACAAAATTATATGCTGGTTCTACATAAACTATAAAAACTATAAATAAACTATATTGTTGAATTAAATGACTCATTTCTTATTTTCTTGTGTCTTTTTGTCAGATATGATGATTGCTGGGTAAAATGTGTGCTGAAGTTGTCCAATGTCAAATCTATTTTTGGTCATGTGATGAGATGAGATGATATACAGTAGGTATTTGTGTGAACTGGGGCCCATTGTAACTGTCTTACATCACTGCTTGCAGCTCAGCTCATTGATGCTGCTCTGTTCTGTTCCTGGGAGGGTCTTTGCTGCTGCTCTCCCTGCCTCAGGCTTTCTTTGTATGCATCTGGAAGGGCAGACAGGTGTGCTCTCTCTGCCTTAGGCTTTCCTCGTAGGCACATGGAAGGGCAGAGAGGTGTGCTCTCTCTGCCTCAGGCTTTCTTTGTCTGCACATGGAAGGGCAGACAGGTGTGCTTTCAATGTTGGCGCATAGAAGAGGCTTTCCACGTAGGCCAGAGGAAAGGCGAAGAGGCCCCAGAACAGAGCGATACCACCAAATATAAAACTCCAATGGAAATAAAGTTTTCTTTAACTAAAGTGGTCCTCACTGAACTATGTTTGAAACTACAAATATATGTCTTCCTAAAATTATTTGATCCCAAAAATAGCAGAATCAGTCTTCAAACCGGTCTTGTGTGAAGGTGTAACTGTAAAATGTTGCGTCTTCAGCTCATGAGGAGCAGAGACAACCCTCACAGTAAATCACACTTTGACATGAGTATGTGACACAACTGGTTTGAACCTGGTAAAAACCTGTGAGCTTTTACTTGAGGCACAAACTCTCCAATCACTCAGACACTCAAATTATTTTCCCATCACTGATTACCTCACTCTGTTAAATTTACACCAGAACGTGTTTTTCCTTTCATCCGTTTCCTGCCTCACTTGAACACATCATTAGCAGCAGAGATTAGAGTCTAAATTTGAAAGTGAAACTTTACTTTTGTCTCATCAGTGGCGGAGCCTCTATAGCTGGTGCCAGGAGGGAAACCATGGCTGCCACCATGTAAGCACCGGAAAAAAAGCCTCAGCTCGCACCGTCATCCCTCATCAATCCGGTCGACTCCGGTCAGCCCGGCACAAAAAAGACAAAAGCAGGAGAAGAGCGCTTCCTCCATCAAATGTGAGGGAGGCGGCGAGCTCTGAGTGCACGTCGTGATTAGTTGTGAATGGGACGCAGCGGTCTGATTGGTGGAGAGAGCCGGGGGTCAGGCGTTCTGCCAGCAGCTCATACAAGGCTGCTGATTGCTTTTCATCCACTGATTACAGTAATTTAGATCTGCAGCAGGCCAAAGGGGCCTGCGTCTGGCAGGCTGGCTGCTGCTGCTGCGGCTCTGTCTGGGGGGCTGCGGTTTGGTTTGCTTAGTGATTTTTATGTTGTTGTCAGAGATGAGTGAGTGAAGGAAAAGAAGCAAACATACAGTATTTACTCAGGGAAACAGCCGTGATGAAAAAGGTGTGAGAGAGTCTTGGAGGGATAAATATCTGAGTTTTTTAAAGGATTTTCTTTCAAAAGTCTACATTTTCATTATGCAGAAAATTAAAGGTCAATATTTCAAAAATGCAGGTGATAACAGCCTAAAATAGCCTGTTTTACATCCAAATATATTAAATCTATTATGCCAGAATCCACTTTGAAATCATCTGTTTTTCAAATCATTAATATCTCATTTTGAATTTAAACACACCCTAACTCTAATTTAGTGAGAGTAGAAACAATAAATGCTCCATCACACATCAGTTTTCTCCCTTTTGTCTTTCAGGCGGCCCTTTGGACACGCCGAGACCTTGAATAATCAAAGTTGATGAGGCAGTTAGTTGCGAATGATTTTTCCAGGAACGGTGGCGATGATTAATCAGCGCCGGCCTCTTCATCCGCGCACATTACAAGGTTAATCTCTCCATTGATTACAGCAGCAGAATAAAACCAATACTTCACTGCACATTTTCTCTGTTTTCACATGCGTGTGTGTATGTTTGCTGCTTTCTGTGACGCCGTCGCAGATCCACGAGGATGATGAACGATCGTTGATAGCATCTCTCCACCGCAGCCATTACCCCATATTGAAAAAAATAAATCATGTTCAGCACATTAGATTCACATTTATTGACAAAAACGTTTTTCAAAAGTTTTTGTTTCTACAGCAAAGACTATTTTCACAGAAAGTATTAAAAACAATGTGTAAAGGGCATAAATATACATTCTGACGTCTGCTCGCCGACGTCTACAATCTTCACCGAACACTGATGAAGACAATAAAAAGGTCCACAGCCACGCTTTGATCACAACAAACACACGTTCCTGTAACTGTCCATCATTTCGTCTCCCTGGGTGATTATATAGATAACACTGTACCCCCAAAGGAAGCTGCGGCTTTACCTCTCACACACAAACACATTCACATATGTACAAACAGAAAACTGGTGTAATGTGTGTGAACTTGTGTCCCCCCGTTTTGGTGACTCCACATCATGTTGTGTGTTTACACAATACGCGTCCATGTGCCGGGCTCCTCAGGGTGTTTGGCCCCACACTGCTTGCCCTCTGGGATGCTGCTTCAGAGGTGACCTAGTTCTCCTGATTGTCAGCAGAAGGCGGTTTCATCAGCTCGCTTTGTGCCGAGGCACTGAACTGTGCCTGGGACCCTGGGACAGGCCAATTGGACTTGTGTAATGAAGCTCATCACACACATGCATGCACACACACACACACACACACACACACACACACTGCTGCTGTTGTCAGGTCCAGGGCAGCAGAATTTATAACAGCTATTTATTACCTTCTCCTTTATCAAAGAAATGTGATGCCTCTGCGTGTTTCTGATGCATGCACCGCACCGCCATTATGGTCCATTACTGGGAGGTGACAGAGATGGAGCAGAGGGTGGTGATAGATGTCGGTGCCGGGGCCGACTGTCATTACTCCATCTATTGAGCGGAGAGTGGCGAGACACTTCCCACAAAATGGCCGCGGAGCACCAACATGGCTCCAGCAGCGAGGAGTAAATGATTCTCATCTGACGATGGGCACAAAATGTTAACCACATTCATTTGCTGCGTGCGTGTGTTCAGAATACCTCGAGCGGCGACACAATCAAAACAGTCCGACTGCAGCGACACCAGTGCCTCTTCACAGCAGAGTGTGTGAGTGAATATTTACACATGACATCTATCTCACTGCACTGTTCAGGATGTCAACAGATCCGTCAGAAACTCTGCATCGAGAATTATGTACAAGAACACTGCAAATTCCCACACTGAGCATGGGTGACTTCACACAACATACTGTTACACTGAGCGCGGCAACTCCACGTGATCCTACAGTCTCTCTAGCCTACACAATACTCATCAAATACAGAAGCAACAATGGCGTTACATTCATATAAATAACAATTATCCCAGTAAACCCCCAAGAGTCACTGCAGCACTTTCGGCTCGATTCATGCATTTAAAAATGAGACCTGAAGACCAGCTTCACTGTGTGTCCGTAACAACTCCCTTTAGAGGTGCAATAACTGTCCTTGAGGTTGTGACACCAAATCCCTTGGTATCAAAAGAAAAAAGGAAAGTCTCTTTGAGCTTCTGTACAGGTCAGGGGTCCTTGGAAGTCCATGGATTTTTTTATAAGGCCCAGGAGATTGCAGGGTTTCACAGATAAGAAGATATCAGTTCGTCCGGGTCTCTTTCCCTCTTTGAATGGCACAGACAAAGGATGGAGGCGATACAGAAAAGAAAGAGCTCTCCTTCTTTGTTTAGTTTGTGATCAAAATGTCTGAGATGGGAAATGGTCAGCGGAGAGACAAAAGCAGATGAGTGGATGAGTGAGAGTTGGTTGATTAACTGATTGATCAGACTGTAACTGTGTTTACAGAGAGCCAAAGTCCTGCTCCGTTTCTAGGCCGGCCTCTGATCCACTGGCTTTCAGTTTTCAATGTTTTTTCTTGATTTTAATCATCAGTGATTACATGACATGATACTGGAGTTTTCTGTCCAGATAAATGGATACCTGTGGCAGCCATTTAAGTGATCTGTTTTGGCTTTCTCCGGCAACTTGATTTATTTAATGTCATGTTAACGGGAAACCTGATTTCTGGTAGGGGGATTAGAGACACCTAAATTCCCCACAAAGCTGTTGTGGAGATCTAGAAATCTCCACAACAGCTACTAAACAGACTTCATGGTGACAATTTTCAGTCTCAAAATAAACATTGTTTCCCCTCGTATAAAACAACTTTTAAAATGTACTGTACAGTACAGGTTTAGACACCAGATTATAGCCTAGAATATGGTCGCAGAGCTCCTGTATCATGCATCAGCTTCTTACAAAACACTGACTACTTTTACATGCACACAATAATCCTACTTTTGCCCTTATTCCGAAAGAGACGATACTCCTACTGAGCTGTTTACGTGGAAAATGACAGTGAATGCAGCTGTGCATACTTTGATTAATGTGCCATAACGTGTCGTTTTTCACGATGAATAAAAGCGGAACCACTTGTCTCATTTTCTCCCTTTGCTACAAAATGTTTTCAAAGTTTTCCACTGGTGGCCGTGTGAACACAGCTTTCCTCTTTCATTCCTTCAACAACCTTCTCGAAAAGGTCAGTGTTGCGATATTTGCACCAATCTAAAAAGTCTTTTATAATGTTTAAAAGCAGGTGTGTTTCTCCTTCCGACTAGAAATGAGGGATTTTCTTTTGGGCATGCATCTCTAACCTCTGCCTTGCAAACTGTTGGTGTGTCAGTTTGTGTATAACGCACAGAGCTGACCATAAACAGGTAAGAGGCCGAGTGTAAACTGCAGTAAAAAGCCCAGCTGAGATGCTTATTTAGAAAATGCCACAATCAGAGAAAGGCCTACCTCTGAAAATATGCCTTTTACATGACCTGTATCAGCTTCAGAATATCATCACATTCTGAATAAAAGTGGAATATTACTGTGCATGTAAATGTAGTCACTGATGAATGAAACCCGCGATATGAAAACACACTGTGTCTGGCCTGAGGAGGGGGCGGGACCTCGGCTTTCTGTAGCCAGAGGTGCTCTGCATCCCCATCTGCTCACTCATGGTTGGAGATGATTGCTTGAAAGAAAAGATGGCGAACCAAACTGCCCTGCCGCTCTCTCTCCCTCTTTTCTCTGTCGGAAGTAATGAGTCACGTCAGCCGCTTTCTGCTCGCGGCGTCGCAGCCCTGCCGGTAACGCAGGAGAGGAGTGATGGAGTGAAGGGAGGAGGAAAAAGAGGAGAAAGACGGAGAGAGGAAAGGTAGAGGGGAAAAGAGAAGGAGGGCAAAGTGTGTTCATCTGATCATAGACAGTTTTTAAGCTCTGCTCCTGGCAGATTCTCCATCTATCTGTTCCTGCGTCCTCCATCTGTCCATCTGTCTCCTTCTCCCTTGTTGATCCGAGGATGAAAAGGACGAGAAGAAGAGAGGGCTGCACGGATTTGATCTTTTTTTTTTTTTTTCAGGCTCTGCCTTTGTCCTTCTTGGGCAACCTGTTCCCCGATCTGTTCGTCCATCTTTCACAGCCCTCTGCTGGCGTTGGGTTTCAGCTTGATGACCCACTCCCCTCCTGAGTTACTGTTGTACAAATCCAGAAGGTGTGTGTCGGGGTCCAGACAGTGCTCACCTGCAGAGATCACACGCATGAAAATATGAGATGCTCTCATTTTAAATATATAAATAAAAGTAGGGTTGATTTAAAATATCAATACGTCTGCAACTAAATGATGTAATAATGTGAATTATTATCTTTAATTGTTGATTGTTTTGACCTATTTAATGTATGAAAATTGTGAAAAATGCCCAGTTTCTCAGAGTCTAATTTGATATTTAGTTTAAAGTTGTATAAAACAGAGAAAAGCAGCAAATATTCCTGACTGAAAAGGTATAATTTCAGATTTTTGGGGGATTTTTTTTGTCTTGAAAAATTACTTAAACGATTAATGAATTATCAAAATAGTATCTGATCATTTTATTATTTTTTTCAATTAATAGTCCATTTTTCTTACTTCGATTTCTTTCAAAACAGTGATCATAAATCACTACTCTCAGTTACGTGTAGATTCACAAGTTTCACATCACAAGGCTGAACTGACTGAACAAGTTTGTCTCCTCACTCTTCACTGTGTCAGCTCTCCTGTGAGCGCACAGACATGTGTGTAATAAGCATTTGTCTGCTCTGATAACTGCAGATGCACTGCTCTTGTCTCTTTGGCGCTCGCACAGTTCATTATATAAGACCTCGCTACCCTCATCAGCTCAATGAGCAGAAAGACATGCAAATGTCAGAGCTGCTCCGACCACAGAGAACGGCGCAGCCACTTCCAACTTACCAATGTTCCCTCCCACTTCGTACAGGGCGCAGTCCGGATACGCCACGGCGCCGTTTCTGTTGAGAGACATACAACACTTATGTAGCATCCTTTGTTTCATTAAGATGGATGAAGCACTTTGTTATTCATCAGGTGACACCATCACTACTGCTAGAAAAAAAGCTTAAAGTTAACTGTTAACGTTATGTAACAGAATTAAAGTCAAGAGTTATCTGCCTTTACAGTCATCATTTAAACTCGTACCTTCGCATTTTGCCCTTTCCGTTGTCGGGGCTGCGGAGGGACTGGCGCTGAAACTGTGCGAGCAGGTCGGAGGCTCTGGAGTTGATGTTGAGCTGGTACTCCATGGTGCCGCTCACCAGATCCCCAACCTGGATCTTCACTGTACGACACAACTGCAGGGCAAGAAACAAAAGAGAGTTAAAGAACATTTATCACCGAATTAACTTTGGATTAAAACAATGACGTTTCCCCACAAAACACCTTGTTGCATGCAGCTAAAACATTAATACAGTTTTATATCAGTTTGTGAGGAGCTTTTTGTGGACGATGAGATCAACAGGAACAAATAAATCGACACAAGGCTTTGTGAGTATTAACATAAATAAAGAGTTGTTAACCAACTCCTCACCTCTGAGGTGTTTTTATCAGGTTTGTCGCGGCTGTCTGTGTGGATCTTCCTCAGCAGGTTCTTGATGCGGCGATCGTAAAACTGGTAACGCCGGTTGCTATTCTCGTTCAGCTTACGCACCTGGCTCATGAGGAAGTTTGGGATCTGAGGAGGAAAAGGAACATGACTCAAGATCTGTGATTTTCATGCCATGAAATATGCACACAGTTCTTATCATAGGATCAAACTACTTGGTTTTGTAGAAAAACAACCAACAATTAACCATTTATTACAAAATTTGTACTAAAATGCTTCTTTGAAAGTCAAGAGTTCAGCTACATTTAATGACAGCTTTGTCTGATATTAGGTTTCCAATTTACTATGTGACAACAGGGATAAGAAATAGAAGTTTCTGTTATGAGTGTTGTTTTATTACTCTTTATTAAAGGCATACATCACCCACAAAATGATCATTTGCATCTTTACTACTCCCCCAGTGTTACATCAAATGTTTCTGCAGTAAAAGGTTGAACATTTGGGTGAATGTGTAGGCGGTCCTACCGTCCAGAGCAGGTCCTGGTAGCGGATGAGGAGCCTCATGACATCAGCTGCCTTCTCCGCATGTCCTTTCTCTGCCCCCTCAGTCAGTCTGCTGGGGACGGCCTTATGCAGGAAGAGGTTGGGAGCCATGATGGTTGCTACGGCCCACAGGTTCATCCTGTTCTTCTTCTCCCTGGAAACCACCTTACTGAGGAACTCGAGGAGCGCCTGGCGAACACACAGATGGAGACAGATATGTGAATTTTAAAGGCATTCAGCAGTACTGGAAAAGATTTTTTTCTGTCAATTTACATGTAACATGGCGGCAGAACATTCCAGTTTTTGCAGAGTTGACAGACACTCGCTCATTTTTAGCTGAACAGTGTTTGAATGTTGAGAGGCCACTTACACTGAGGCACAAAATGGAGTAAAGTGAATTATCACAGTGACTGAATCATCTGCAACACCTCGACTGAGAAGTATGTTAATGCACAGTAAGTTTCAGCTGCCTCCACTGGAGTCAGAGTAATTAGTTCAGGTGGGTTTTATGCTCCTGGATGCTATAAGCGGAGCTGACTGCACACTGGTGTCGCTGAAAGTGAGTCATGGTTAATGCAAGCCGTTATTTAACAGAGCAGAGAGTTTATAATGTGGATTAGGAGCAGAACAATATAGTAATGTGTTATGAAACGGTGCTTCGGTGTGTCGAGTTACATAAAAGTGTAAATTGAGATGAGTTTCTGACAACCTTAAAGATACTATGATGGATGTTCCTACAAAACAATGTATGGACTCATACAGAAGTAATCCCACTCAATCATCTCTTAAGATCCACTAGAAGTGTGTGGTGATGTATTTTTATGTAGAAACTCTGCTCCCCAGGCGGCACGTGGTGTGGTGGTTAGCACTGTCGCCTCACAGCAAGAGGGTTGCCGGTTCGATCCCTGGTGTGTGAGCCCTTCTGTGTGGAGTTTGCATGTTCTCACCGTGTCAGCGTGGGTTCTCTCCGGGCACTCTGGCTTCCTCCCACAGTCCAAAGACATGTAGATTTGGGACTAGGTTAATTGATAACTCTAAATTGTCCGTAGGTGTGAATGGTTGTTTGTCTCTATGTGTCAGCCCTGTGATAGTCTGGCGACCTGTCCAGGGTGTACCCTGCCTCTCGCCCGATGTCAGCTGGGATAGGCTCCAGCCCCCCCGCGACCCTCAAGAGGATGAAGCAGTTAGAAGATGAATGAATGAAACTCTGCTCCCTGACTGTTTACTTCTTATTCTGCTGTGGTCAGGACGATCCTCGGCACAGCGCGCAGGTGAGGTCAGGACTTTATAGAAAGGTAGTGACCAGCTGCCAAATTGTGAGCAGCATGCATTCAAGAGGAAGCTACAAAAACTGCAGACACAGCGATGACCACATATATATTGGGGGACATTTATGGATTCTGTAAAATCCCAGTGATGCTTTTAACACATGGAGATCAAATATTTTTCAAAACTTGACTCCTTTATTTTGGAAGGTAATTTTAAAACTATATTGTGACTGGAGATCAAGTGTGTGCAGGGTGGAGGAAGTATCCAGATCTCTTATTTAAGTAAAAGCAGCAATACTACACTGTAATAATGCTAATTAAATTGTTAATTAAGTAAAAGTTTACATTAGGTGTTAGTGCCAGTTAATTAGGAACACTCAGCTGAAACTAATGCAATGTAAAACACCAGCCTTGCCATTAATCTTAGCTTAATATACTGTGTGTTCATTTTTGAGGCTGCAGTTTGTTGTGCTGCTGAATTGTTTATTATTCTGACCACCTCACTTTAATCAGTGAGGCTAGGCTAAAGAACAGAAACACCTTTGTGTTTAATCCAATACGGTTCAAGCGCACCACAAAATACATCCCCATCAAACAATTTAATCACCACCTCTCTTTAACTGGGGATTTATCGTTGGACTGTTGTGTTAGACTGCATTAGTTTTCACTAGGTGTACCTAATAAACTGGCAACTGAGTGTATTATTTAATCAAGTTATTATTACTCATGCATTAATGTGCAAAGGAGCATTTTGCTGGTGCAGTTTGTGAAGCTCAAGCTGATTTTGAATATTTTATATATTGCTGGTTAGTTAAAGGAATGCTTCTGCCACAAAATGATTTTAAATAGCAAGTTTTTAGGGAAATACGTGTGTTTGGGAAGTACTGAGCACACGACTGGATCAATGATACTTGGATTATACTGCGCGAGTTGTATGAGACTTTGTAACCAGATGTTTTAATATCATTTTGTTGCTGTTTACTGTGTCCCCATCAACAATAAATCAATATGTCCGCTGTTTTCTCGTGGAGTGTTACTTTAAATCTACAACAATGCAGCATATGTTCAGAGCTCATCATCTGTTTTCTGTGTAAAATATTAATTTGTAAGGGAACTACTGCTGGGAAATGAATGTCAGGGAGTCAAAGGGCAATATTTCCCTCTGACATGATGTGGCGTAGAAGCATCAAGAGCCATGACAAATAGAAATATTCAAGTAAAGTACAAGTACGTCAAAGCTGTGCCCGCTGTAAGCACAGTACTAAGAACTCATGTATGTAAGGACCTGGAAGAATTATTGTTGAAACAAAAAGTGTGGCGAAAGCAGATTTTTGCAGAGCATGTTTCTTTTAATATGACAGAAGAATGTGGTGTCATGTTTATGTGACATTTTACAAATCAGGCCATAAATCTGATTATTTGAATTCACACAAACACAGAGAATCAAGTAAATATCAGTGTGTTCAGTCTGTGCTGAGATCTCTTGATCTCAGAGCGTGACAACTATTTTTGTCTCTACTTCATGAAGTGCATTGTTGAATAGTCGAGGTGCTGTGAAGTGTGTGAGAGTGTGTATACCTTCAGTGTGTTCCTGTTGGGCTCAGGCAGCAGCAGGATGAGCAGGTTCAACATGTGAAGTTTCTGCCTCAGCTCCGTGATGTCTGAAGGAGGAGGGAGCAAAGGTAAGACAGGTTTAACACACACACACACAGACACACAGACACACAGACACACACACTCACACCCTCTTCATTTCCTCTGCATTTGGCTGAGAGTAATGGGATACCTAAAGATTAATGACATTGTGACAGACAGTCATTAGGTTTGTTAGCTTATGTCTCTGTGGTCACACGTCATTTATCACTTTGCACTGATCCTCCTCACAAACTGCACATCAGTGAGTCATCAATCAGATCGTATTAATATCAGTGCGTTCTTTTATTAAGGTGAGACTAATGTGAAAATAGCAGATCTTTTACAGCTGCTTTGTCACAGTGCACAGACGCCTCTTGAGAGGCTATCAACTTGTTCATCTTAATGTTGGTTTTCTCAGCCGGAGCAGAAAGAAGGAAGCATCATGGTGAAGAGACTCAGGTAATTATGATGTGAACCCTGCTGAGCTGTCTGCAAAAGTGGGCAGCAGATTGCTGAAGTCTTGTAGAGGGATTATTGTGTGTGCCTGATTTATACTGTAAAAATGCAACTTGTCAGATAAGAGAACACATTCACAGTGAGTCACTTCACAAACACACCCCGCTGCTGATATACTGCATGATCTACAGCTCTGGTTATGGTGTAACTGTAACAGAGGAGCAGTGCACTTTTTGATGAGTCCTGAAATTCAAAGATCTTAAATCAAACAACAGACATTTGTCTTGTATCTCTGAAGAGCAGCCTCACCCAAATGACTCAGATACAGTGGGAGTGTGAACGTGATGTCAGAATGTTTATACTTTCTGTTCAACGAGACTTAAAATGCTACACACTGACCTCTGACAGCGCTGAAGGTGTTGAGGTACTCTGCGGTGAGAAGAGGAGCGGGAAGTTCCCTGATGAACTTCTTGAGCAGCGCGGCGGCATCATTGGGACTCACGTCGTCCCAGCAGACTTGCCCTGAGTAGAAGTTGGTCTCCAAGTTCTGCTGCAGTTGCTGCAGGTGGAAAACAATGAGACGGTTTCAGAACAGCATGAACACAGATGAACTGTCAGTGTCTCCCGTTCGTAGGCTCAGTCACTGGTATTTGATCATTTATAAAGCCATACTGGGTAAACTCCCTTTGTACATTTGTACTTTGATTGAACAGAGATCTAACTGTAGTTACAGTCTGAGATCTAAAGACTTAGTTTTGTTGTCTGTTCCTTGTGCACTGACCTGGTTGACCTGCTGGGAAGGAAAGCTTTTATGTGCTCAGCTCCTCTCACTGAGGATAACCTTCAGAAAGAGCTGAAACTACGTGAACGGGTTTCTCTGTCTGACATTAAAGCTCTCATAAGCACAAGGATGAATGAGTCGTCTTGTTATTGTGTGTAGGTGCTCTGATATTTCTACATGTTACTGTGTATCTTTAATGTTTTTTATTGTGGCTGTAACTTTCTGTGTGCTGCTGTGTCGGCCAGGTCTCACTTGTAAAGGAGATCGTTGATCTCAATGGGACTTACCTGGTTAAATATGTGTTAAATAAAGTAAATAAATAAAAAATGCATACAAAAAGAGCAATTACATTTAATGGATTTTGTGAAGGCAACTAGAAAGCACTGGGGGAGGGAGACAAAGCTTGAGTTTGAAGAAACGAAAATAATTTAACAGCCATTTACACTATATTTTCATGTGTATTATAAACATTATATGTATATATTTTATTGTAATTGTATATACCAGTGTAGCACTAAACCCCTAGTTTTAACACTAAGTCCCAGACTCAAAAATATCAGTTAATTAATTCAACAATTATCAGTTATTTTATTTTCAATACTTTTTTAAACAGTTTTTGTGTGAAATGTGTCTGATCAGTCAAGACTGTTAAATATTGTTTTTCTATATATCATATATATATGTACAATGAGACCGAGAGTTGTTTGTCACTCACAGACGCGACATGGCTCTAAAGCAGCTATTTAAAACTCATTAGTATCAAATTAACTCTTCAGACTGTGGATGTTACAAACACATGAGGTCACAACTAATTACCTGTCACTGTTATCAGTCTCTATTTGTGCCTCAGGTGTATATATATATATATATATATATATATATATATACACACACACACACACACTATTGTCTTGTGCTACTGATTCTTATTTTACAGCTTGTTGCTAATAGAGGCGGCCATCTTATGTTTTATTAACATACTAAAATGAGTCAGGGAGGATTTTGAGCTTTGGATTAACAGATTTTTGTTGATTCCTGCTTCTACCTGTTAATCTAAAATCAGGGAGAAAGTATGTTGTGCTCTGCTTAAATGGCAGAATATGCTGAGGGTGGAAGATCCTTCATGAGCTTGGGACAGGTGAGAAGAGACAGATATGTCACAAGTGACTGTTTAACTTTTATCAAGTATGTAACATTTACAAACATTTCTATATCTGAATTTTATTTATTAAAAATGTTTTAGAAAAAAGAAGAAATACAATCACAATGGAGTGATATTTTAGTCAGCTAAAATCATCATAAAGTAAAGATAAAGAATGTATGTCAAATTTTTATGTGTAGTTAATTCTCTCTAAATGATCTTTGTCGTCAGATCCATGATCTGGTGCATGATCATCTCTCCCTGCAATCTGTACTGATTTTGCTAAATGGCGCCCTCTTCTGTCTGCTTCAGTTTAATTGATTCAACATCTACTATGCACGTGCTGAATTAAAACAGTATCAGAAGGTGAATCTGGCAGAAACAAACATTATTGATTTTGTCTCATTGGACTTTTCTAAATGTCAACTTTAGTTAAACTCAGTGTTTGATTTTCTTCACTGCTGTTCAGACACTTCTGACATTTCACAGTGTCAATATTTTCACTGCCCTTTAGGTCATTAAACATTTTTCATTTCGTTGCTTTAAACATTAAATTACAAAAAGGGCATGTTGTATAATGAAGGATTTTGGTGCCAGCTTTGTGTGACAGACATGATGTGTGGATCCAAATATTCTACCTTGATTCTGGACTGAGATCCTGGAACCCGCAGGATCCCCTCCGAATCGACTCCTTTCTTCTCCAAAAACGACAACAACTGCAGAGAGAGAGAGAGAGAAAGGACAGAGAGACGTTAGCAGCGACTCGAGCACCAGCAGATAAGAATCTCTTGCTCACCTCTGCTGGTTATTCTCAGTAACTGCTGCTACATACAGGGTGTGGTCAAAGCATTTCACATTCAGAGGACACTGAGGTTGTTTCATGTGCTTCTCTCTGAAGATGCAGTTTGTAGTTCAACAAAGGCAAAAATGTGCCCAACATGTTGAGCAAAATATGGTCAAAGAGATGCAAACAGTTGGGAGAGCAGCAGATCTGATGTATTAAAGCCACATTCAAAAACTCTAATGACTTCAGACGCTGTTCAGATTATTGGCCTAATTTTCACATCAAACCCACATGAACCCTTTTTCCCATCAAAATTAGCATGTACATGTGGGTTTTTTAAAGCAGGAAAGCCCTGTTTAAACCAAACACTTTCGGTATGGTACCTTTGGAACTAAATCTAACCCTTCAGACATGGTACCTAGACCCTAGGTCCACTTAACATTTCCACTGCAAATAGTACTCTTGAATGTGGGCAGGGTTGTTTTCACTCACTGCTCTGTCCAGCGCTCACTGTATTTCTTCATCACCGTTGACAAAGTGAGTGAATTAAGTTATTTTTTCTCAGACTCCAGCTGCTTCAAGAGGCAGCAAAACATCCTTTCATTTTATAGTTACAGTTTACTAATAAAACTCTCCACAGTATGAACAGTGGTTACATGAGCCTCAAAACCAGCCACATCTCGGCCCTGAGCAGAGTGACCGTTCTCTACTGACCAATCAGACTGCAGTGTTCACAGCTCCACCTTTTAGTACCAGATCTGTGTGCTAGGTACCCCAACAGAGGGGGGACCAAACATGGGGACAGTACGGAACNCTGCAGTGTTCACAGCTCCACCTTTTAGTACCAGATCTGTGTGCTAGGTACCCCAACAGAGGGGGGACCAAACATGGGGACAGTACGGAACGGTTCCATTGGTACCATCCACAACTTTTCACAGTGGAAACAGAATAAGAATGTACCGAACTGAACTGTACCGTACTGCTCGGTGGAAATGGGGCTACAGGCTCCTTTCCCATGGCCAGCTGACGGGTGAGCCTTTCTTTTCCTAATATGTCATGTTTGATGTCACGAATGTGGTGGAAAACAGGGTCAGTAAACAGCAGAAAGCAGCATGGAGGCCAGTGAAAATGTTATGGTGGTTACTTCTAGTTTAAATCTCTCACATCTTAGAAGTTACTGACAGTCGCACCGGAAAAGTGGCAGAAGCGAGTGTGTCCACACGGGCGTCATATTCCCATCACTGCCAATAAGTACCCATGACCACTGCAGAGTAATTTGTCCCAGGACTGAATGCTGATTGTTACATTTCCCACTAAAGACAACAGCCAGATGTTTGTGGGGGTTTTTTGTTGAGTGGGAAAGGGGCTATACAGCAAAGATGTCTGTTTGATATCTGACACAGCTGAATTCATATAAAAACATTTAGAATACCTTCTTCATGCTTGTCTTTATTAGTTTTTTTTAGGTCACTTTTCACAGATGTATTTCAGGTTCTTACCGCCTGCAGAAAGAGAGGAGTCGAGGTGTTGGGCTTGATTTTCTGATCGTTCTCCAGCAGCGTAGCCAGCGGCACACCGTAGAGGGGACTCTCTGTCAAAGACATAACATGTCATGCTATTATTCTCTGCCTTACATTGTGTAACATACAAGCTGCATAAGGGAGACATTTTCCTGTGTGTGTGTGTGTGGGTGTGTGTGTGTAGCCTACACCCATACTGCCACGTCATAGCTGGAGTATTTCTGTGTATATGAGCATGTCGACATAGTGCAGTAATTACAGTGTGTCAAACTGGCAAACCAAAAAAATGGCTGATTGATGTATGACTAAAGACTATGTCGCAATAGTTTAGTTTAGAGTGACAAGTACTATGTAAAGTATTTAGAAAAGAGGCAGGAGCATATTTAGATTTAAATTCCAGGCTGCAGGGAAACATGAGGAAGTCTCTGCAGACATCAGAAAGCGGACAGTCAGTCAGGTGCCAGTTTGAGTCACTGTTTTCTTTTTAATTTGATCGGCTGAGACAAAGTGTGAGAACAGACAAAAAATAAACACTGCACATAGTTAAAATGTTATTGTCTGAAAAAGTAAATACAAGTCCCCTACATTATGCCTATTTCCTTGTTTGTGTTTTTGTAAAGTTCACTTCCCTTTGTGTGGCGAGTGCTGCTATACCTGGGACTTTCCTTTTGCCCATTTTGTGCCTTTTAACCTCCAGCTCTAAAAGGTCGCACAGCGCCGTCATGTCGATGAGAGCCAACTGACGCACCTTCTTCATGTCAGAGTGGGAGAGATCCTGAATACGAGTCACTCCTAAACGGCACTTTGGGCAGATGACCCGCTGAGAAGATGAGAGATGACAAGTGGAGGGTTACAAATAAAGAAGAAGAGACAGTAAAGGAAGAGAAAATAAGATAAAGAAGAAGGTGAAGAGAAGAGGAAAAGAAAATTGCAGCACTTTATATCATTCCCTTGATTAACATTCTTTAAGTAAATGTGGCAATGGTATCCATGCATGTATAATTAACTCATTTATAAACCACTAATTCTTCCCCACTGCTGCTGAAGAAACCTATTTAGCCTGAAACAGCAAAATAAATCTGCTGGACTCTGTGACACAACAACTCTTCTTTTGTTTGGAGCTAATTCCCTCGTTCCTTTATTGTGCGTAACCCTGTTATCTAACCAACAGCGTGGCCGATTAGAATTGGTTTACAATAACATTTTATGTGTGTGTTAACAGGTTTACATGAAAATGACCCAAAATATTTGGGACTGAACTGCGCTGTGATTTCTGTGAAAGGTTTGGTGAAAATGTCAAGAGCCCAAACGCCCTAAATTACTGAGATGAAATTCCATCCTGGTACAAAGCCAAACTGTTAATAGGGGTTATTATTCATCATGTATGTACCTTGCCTTCCCAAAAGCTATGTGATTATCTTTATGTCCTGTTTTTTGTAAATACATTTCAAATCTACTTTCACACCCACAAAGACGAATGAATGTAGGAAATACATGCACTGAAACTCATGCCAGTATTTCCCTTTAATACCGCATTTGCAAATTGTCTTCCCATTTCATGAACTCACTGGGACGTTTATAAAGTTCCCCATTTAAAATAACACATTAAAAGTTTCTCCCGTTTTCCTGAAGGCAGCGGGACCCACAGTCACGAGTGTTTTGGTGCTTACAGGCAGGGTGCCGTCCTCTTTTCTGCGCTGGCTGTTGTTCTGCGGCAGTTTGGCCTGTTTGAGGAAGATGACAGCCTGTTCGCAGTAAGCCACGTCGGTGATGAAGAATTCCTCTTTGGGAGCGCCTCGGTGATGCTCCGGCGTCACGGCTGAGCAGGAAACAAACACACACACACACAAATGCCAATCTGTTAGATCACTAGAGGAAATCAACTGTAGGGAAGTTGGGAAAAATAAAATCTGATTGCATGTGAGGGAACAAGAGGAAGAAAAAAAGTCAGCAAGCACGAGGAAATGTAACCTCACGCTCTCTTTATCTTTTATCTTCCAAAACACAACATCGCTGTTCATTTTTTCTCAGTAAAAAACCCTAATTCATAAACACTGAGATTTGGCAGGTGTACTCAGAACTGTCAGGACAGGGACTTTCCCCAGAAGCTGCATGAAGCGACGTGGAGTTACCCCGGGGATTAATGTGAACCAATTAGAGACAGATAACAGAGCTGTGGCCTGACACACAATCCCCCATCGCGACCTCACAAAGCTGCAGCTCATCTGACTTCTTCTTCGGGTGTGTCTTTTTAAAGACATGTAAGGCGGTTAAACCCATGAGAAGTTTGCTAGAATGGTCAAAGTGCACGAGTGGTTACTTTCCCTTCTGTGTTATTCCCTTTAGTTACAGTTCATTTTGGCTGTGTGTAATAGTACTACAGTGTGTAGCTCTTACCTGATAGTGGTGTCTTTGGAACTGACGCCATGCTGTTTTGGGCAGGGTCTTCACTGTGGTGGGACTCAGGCAGGAGAGTCTGATGAAAGAGATAATTTATGGACACGTCACAAACACATATACAACACTTTCTGTAACGACTTTAGCTAAATACATCAGTCCTTTAATATTTTCTCCCCCACTGGGAATAGAAGGAGTGTTTTTACAGTGTCCACTGAGCAGATGGAGACGGATACAAAGAGTGTTCCCTTTGATATAGGACTGATAAGGATCAGAGGAACAGTATCTCTATTCTCTCCCTCTCAGGGCTGCTCACAGAGACAACGAGGACAAAGCATGGCCTTTTCATGTGATTTGCCATTCGCTGTCACAGGTCAGCCCCTCCGCATGGAACAAGACAGCACAACACACTGACTCCTGACAGTCATCAGGGACATTGTATTTTATATTTCACTGCATGCGGCTTTGACTCAGACAGCCTCTGCTCTCTAGATCATTTTAAGGCATGAAAATCAAGCTTGTCCCTGCGTTTCCTCCTCCAGCAGGATGTCAGAGGTCCTGGTAAATTACAGGACATTCCTTTAAGGATTCAGGGATTTAAATAGTTCAAAAGGGTATTACAAAGTCCTGACCTGAGTGATGGGGGAGTTGAAGATGTCGCGAACGTCACGCGGCGGCGGTTTGTTCCTCTTGCGAAGGGACAGCGTGTAGGAGTCCAGTCGGCGCTGCACAGCCTCGGCCTGGGTCCGGGTCAGAGTGGACAGCAGCACCGCGTTGTCTACATCCTCGCTATCATCACTAATGAGGGTCGACAAACCAGCATCGGCCAACCACTGCTCCTCCTGTTCACCTTCTGAGACACAAACATATGACAGGCAACATGTTAATACACTGAATGACAGCAACAACATGGAGATATAATGTTGTTTAAAATGCAGAACATGTTGATTAGATGAGCGGACTGGGTCCCTGCTCAGTCTGTAGAAACTAACAGCTGGTTTCAAACCAGTGATTTACTCAGCTTTCAAAGACTTGAGTGATGTGCAGAGCATCACAAGCTGTAACATAACTCCCAGATATAACAATTTTAGGAAGGTTAACAATATAAGAAACTTAAAGGGATACTTGGGTAGTGTGTGGGTAGTACACCTGTTAGTGTGAATGAACTACGGTAAACTTCCCTCCATCTAACCAGTATCCAGATCTCCCTGCTCATCTCTCAGCCCAAATCTTCACTGGCTCTAGAGCTGTTGCCCGAGCTATAGATTGTACTTCCACATTTTCGTATGACCGACACAAAGAACAGAAGCGGACTGAGACAGACACGCTCCTCTCTTGGATCAAACTCAGATTAAACTGTAGAACTAGGCAGTGCTGATCAAATATATACCGAGATTTCATCACTGTACAGCCTTTTTCTGTAAAATGTTTTTAGAAACACATTTTAGTGCCCTGTTTAGCTGTAACACGATAATTTGTTAACAGAAAATGGGTGCCATACTGTTTCCTGTTAAAAATACTGAGATTAAACAATCAAACTAAGCAGTGCTGATCAAACATGAACCAAAATCCTGTAACTGTTTCCTGTTTTCAGAAACATATTTTAGCTCACTGTTTAACTATAACTAGAGATTGTTTGTTACCGGCCAGCAGCCATTTTGCTTTTCGAACAAGTAACTTGCATTAATATGTTTATTAGTCTGGTGTGGTGCAGTGCATTCTGGTAGTTGTAGGTTTTCTACCTCTTGAGCAGAAGCGAATGCCACAGTATTGTTTCTCTGTTATCTCTTCTCCTGTAGCACCAAGTTCAAAAGATTGTACGTCTTTGCACAGCCTAGTCAGCACACTTTTATAAAAAGACCAACTTCTCAGCAGTGAAAGTCATTTAGCAAAAGCAGGTATGATTTTGTTTTATTTATGTCTGTATGGATAGATAAATGTGTGTTTCAGAGCGCATTAGCAGTATTCATGCAGTTAAGAATTAGTGGAATATAAACCTAACTGATGTTATTACATACTTAAGCAAAATGCGGCATTAATTTTTGTCATTTGAAGCAGATTGTGTAATATTTGTGAACTGTGATTGGAAACCTTTGTCATTGTTTGGCAGTATTTTGAACCAGTGTCATGTCAGATGTGTCACACACCATCCATCTTATCTCTTTAGCTAATGGGTCATACATTAGTGTTAACTTAGTTAATTCAGATAGCTACACAACAGTCACACCTGGCATTAAATTAGTGTGAAAGTTTAGTCACAGCTAATCTGTTTGTGTAATCTCCACTTTGTCAACACGTGTTGTAACCAGGTTAAGTCTGAACTCCTAAAGAGTTCACACACTAAATGCTGTTGTTAGTAAGTTGTTTGGATTTAATAAGAAGGAATATAAAATTGTTTACTCTCTCAAAATACTAATGAGGCACACACACACTTACACACCAAGATCCAGACATCAGAGGGTTTACTCATTAGAGAAAAATTAATTTAAAGCAGTGTTTCTGTTTAGTATACAAAAGGTATAATAAGCACAATCAGATCCTTTGAATAAACGTAGTAATAAAAGAGCATTCCCATCATGAATGGCTCTGTGGTTTGTGCACATAAAACACTCACTGCCACAAAGTGTTTGATAGTGTTGTCATGGTGATGAGCGCCACTTTGCTGCATAAGAGAAACCTGATATGTTGCCATGGCGAATGAATCATTTCATGGCGGACCTCAGCAGCAGCTGCGTTAAGCACCGATGGTTTGTAATTCTACCACACACACTCATGGTGACTTCTATCTGCTCTCCTTCGATCCATCGTCAATCTATCAGCACAGGATTTATAGTATTTACCTTCTGACTGTCTGGAGTCTCTCCTGGTGCAGTCGAGGTCTGTGTAGCCACTCCCCTGTCGGATGGTCTCCACCTCACTCCAGAATGAGTCCAGGCAGAGTTTGTCGGGGTGCTGCTCCTGATCCTGGGAGGATGGCGTGTGGGTACTGTGTGCGTGCTCAGCGGCTGCCTGGTCCTGCGGGCTGGCCCAGGGCTCCACGCTCATCTCGGTGGGGCTGGGATTTCTGGCACAGACATACACACACGTAAAGAAATCGCACGCATGCATGCAAACAAACGAGCAGAAACACAAAGACGCATACAAACACAGGAGGAATGAAGACTGGAGCGATGAAGGGAGGGTGAATCAGCCGGGAGAGCCCAGAGAGATGGAGAGACAAAAGGAGCGGGATGGAGGGAGGGCCGGAGTGAGGAGAGCGATGGCGAGAGCGGACACAAAGGGGGGTCTCTATTGTTCTTGCAAAATGTGGCCCAGAGGCATAGTACCCTGTACGTCCACTAGATGTCAGTGTAACTATGTGAGATCTGCTTTCCTGAGGGTCACACCCCTTCATATACTGCAACAGATTCATCACTGCAACCCAGTAACAATAGAATTCAATTAAATGAAATACAATGAACAGTTTAAGAAAATGAAATCATAAATCATTTCAGATTCTCTTCCAAAAAACAAGCAGCAAAAATGCAGCTGGTGTTTCCTGTGTAGGACTCAACAACAGAGGGTACTGTTCTCCAACAACAATCAGACCAACTCAGCTGCAGACACACTCAAACCCCCGGGCACTAAAATGTGACTTGGTGATCACAGACACAGGAAGTGGTCAGCTGAGTCACTGCATCTGTGTGCAGTTCAGTCACATTCCTTTAGTCAGCAAATCTCAAGTGACATGCCAAACCACACTAGTCTATATCTGAGGAATGCCAGATGGCTTATCGTGCCAGCACGAGTGACGAGAGACAATGAAATGATAGTTTCTCCATGTGTCTGTGTGTCAAGAGCCAAAAATACCCATCATACTTTCAGCTGTGATGTGATGAGCTTATCGAGAAGTTCCTGATAAATGTGCACACCAACTGTGCGTCAGCTGGAGTCAGCATAAATTTGTTTCAGATCAATGCTCTGATATGTTAAACCAGTTTCATGGCTTTTCTCAGAGTGTGTGTTTGTGAAGGGGGGTGGGGGTGTGAGTTTCAATAGATACTTAATTCAGTCACTCTTTTTAAAAGAAACAGAAATAGAAAAAAGAAAAATAGAAAATACAATTGTCATTTCTCTGTAGGGTCATATACTAGACAGGCACAGAGAGAATATAAAGCCAGAAACAATGCTAGTAAATGTGACTGGAGAAAAAATGGTACGGGGAACAGTCAAAGATAGAGATCACTGTCCTTAGACCATGTGTGCCACTGTCCCATAAAATCTACACTATAACTACTTTTTCATCAAAGTCTGTATAAAAACTGTAAACACTGTAAATACATTTCTGCAAACCATGGATAAGTTAAATTTGTACCTTTCATGCATATTATATCAGCGTTTCTAAAGTGACGTAGTGTATTAGCTGACTTTGTTTTCAGGAGGTGGAGGGGATGGTGGATGACATGTCGCCTAGGTCATACGCCTGCCACTTTGCTGACCACTGTTTGAGACCAACAAAGAACAAAACTGGTTGTTTTTAAGCCAGTCATTGCTGCATTTCCAGGAGCTTTTTAGACAGCAAACATAGGTGTTTTCTTACACTTCATCGCTGCGTTCTATTGGGGATAGTGCCATAAGAAAGTGTTATTTTAAGGTTACTTTTTTTGGAGCTTTTTGCCTTTGTAGTGACAGGACAGTTTGAAGCATGAAAGGGGCCAACATGCAGCAAAGGGCCACAAGTTGAAATCAAACCAGGACACTACCTTTGTACATGGGGCACCCACCCTTCCTGCTGAGCTACTGGACACACCAGAAAAGGTTGTTTTTTACCAAGACATTGTTGCATTTCCAGACGGGTTTCTTCCACCAAAACTGGGTATCTTAAGCTAAAACACAATGTTTTCCTAAACATAACCAAGTGGTTTTTGTGCCTAAACCTAACCACAGTGTTATTAAAATGTAGAGTTTCAGCACATCGGCTACATAATAACGTAAAAATGCAACCCTGGTTTGAATAAAGGTACAATGCCAGCATTTATTCTGGTGAGTGGGTTGCTAAACCTGTATGATTACATTGCAACATACATCTTAGTAGAGTGTGATGTGGTGTGACATGAGCAGTTTAGTCTGATCTTTCATTTTACTGGAAACGCTTCCAACATTTCAGCAGTTCTCTAAACTTTTTCCAAGACTTAACTATTTGATTAAAATGGACATTAAATGCATCATAAAAAAGTACATACTGGATTAGTATCAGGAATGATAATGGTATCACTGAAGCTATGAGGTCTTGGCTGCACAATACAATTCACATTAATCAATCAAGTGCAAGCCTATAAAATGCCAGAAAATAGTGTCCATGAGCCAAACACTCTTTCAAGTTGTTGGCTTGGTCCAACCAGCAGATAAAACTTGAAGATATTCTATTAACAGTGATGTAAAACAGAGAAGAGCAGCAACTCCTCACAAGTGAGGAGCTGAAGCCAGCAAATGTTTGGCATGCATGGTTGAAAATGACTCAAACAATTAAGCAGTAATCCCAGTTGCTGTTGACTAATTTGCTGTAAAGCTTCTAATTGTTTTAGCTCTAGACAGATCCACTTTGAATAATGATCTGAGTCATATTAAGTCTGTAATAACATAATGTGTATAAACCATATTTAATTTAAATTTGGACAAACCTATATAGCATATGAATATATGAATGTCTCTGCATATAAATAAGAAGTGATGTGGAACTACAGACAGAGACATATGACCTCTACTAGATGCACACAGATTTTTAAGAAGGTATTAGTATGTACTATCTGCTCAACATTAGCCAATAACTTGTGTTTAAATATGGGAACCAGAATTGATGAGCTCCTAATATGCGGTACAGACATAATAAAGGTTGATGTCATACATCTTGCTGACTACATCACTCACACACAGCTGTCCAAAGCCACAACATGTGCTCACAACCTGCTCCTCTTATGGATAAAACACATCAAGCCTGAGATATCAGATGTCTGCACACAGCTGACACACAGCAGGACACTCTGGATCCACTTCAACTCCAGGGAACCCAACAAGAAGCACTCACATGATGTGAAAATACCTGAGAAAAGAAACTTTCAAAAGAAACTTTTTTTCACATATCCAACAGATGATGTGTCTGCAAACTACAGTACAGTGATCATATGTTTTAAAATAGCCACTATCTTTAAACGCCACAGTATGAACTGCGCATACCACAACTGCAGGGGTTTTGACTGACATGTTATGATGTCGCTCTTCACTGTCAGGTTATTATCCGAGTGTGTCATACATGACTTCACTTCAAACACCGACAACACTCAAACTTTCAACAAAACATTTATGAATCCAATCCTTCTGATCCAGCTCCAGCTCCGACTCCATCTCATCACACATACCTTGCTTTTTTCTTTTGGGAGGATGGCTTCACGCGCTTGCTCCTTGCTGGGCTTTGGGCAGGACGAAGCCTGAAACGGTTCAACCTGGTGCGTGGAAACTGCATGTTGGACCCGAGCCTGCCCACCAATACCTCCTCTCTGCCTCCCATATCCACAGTGCTAAAAGAATCCAGGAATTACAGTCCGGCACAAAACCTAGCTTTATCCAGTCCTGTCGGTTGGACACCATGTGAGTGTAGTGTGTAAATCTGTCCGCTGCTTCAGTTACTCTGAGCGGTGACAGGAAGCGTTGTTGTAAGACTTCACTGAGACTCAGGGCTGTGCGGCGTGTTTGTGAGCTGAGTGGAGCAGGAATGCGAGAGGGAGTGACGACTCCCCAAACATCAACACATCATTCATACCTGTCCCCTCCCTCGTCACCGTGGGGTGACACGCCCTGCCTGCATGCCTGATGGCCACCAAATGTGGTTCAAACGAGAATGTTTGACATTTTTTAAAACTTTAAAAACACTTTGGGCTGTAGCATAACAATGGCACTTGTTCTAGTCCAGGTAAAAGTCTAATGGACGTAGACAATAAAGCCTCTGGCCACACAGGTGAAAGCTTTTACACACACATCAGGGACTTTATTGGCCTTTAAGTAAAAGCTACACAATTCAGCTTGAGCTAATTAATCAAGGATTCTTTGATGACAGATGAGACATGTTATCACCTCTTTGCTATGCTGTTACTCTAAAAAATAAGTTAATCAAATGGATCAAAGGATGAAGACTCTTCTTTACAGACTCCTGCATTGCAAACAGTTGATCTCATATCAAACAGCACATTCTTACGGTGTGACAGCTCGTGACGTGGTAACATTAAATCATATCATTGCCTTATATGCAGAGGACAGCTACTTATTGCAACATTCACAGCTAACATCTTAGCTCGACCTCATACCTGAGCTCTCGACTAAACAGTTCATATAAATAACTGTAAGAGCACGAGGCAGAGCGAGAGAAAGTGTCTCAGGCTCCTCAAGTGCAACAGGTCTGTCAGCATTGCCTGTGTGAGAGCAGCACCGCAACCCCTCACCCCGCTCACCCCTCCCCACCCAATCACTGACTCATCATCACTTTTTCATTCCCTCTTGTTGTGCTGATGACAGCTTATATATCAGCTGAGGATGTAAACAGAGAGAAACAGATGTCAGGTGAGATTAGAAGAAAACTGAGAGAGACTTTCCAGTGGCCTTGACACTAACTTTAGTTGTTAACCCCACATTTCCACCTCGATAAAGATGTTTTTCAAAAGTCTGCTCATGCATGACTTAGTTTTAGTCCGATTTACTTAAAGCTTGAGGAACCTTTGGGAATGCATTTCCCGGAAAATAGAAAGGATAGAAACCTGCAGTGCAGCTTACAAAGAGGAGCCTAACAACTTACGTCAACCATTACTGTCTGTCATAAAACTCAGATTTCTATTTAAAAAAGTATCTGGAATCATGGATGGATGGACCTAAATTGTCAGGGGTTCCTTCACCTGCAAAATGTCACTCAAATTAACATTTGCCAACCAGGAAGAGACTCAAAATGACCACAAAGAGACATAGAAAGACTAGAAAGAGATGAAAAAACAGCAGCGAAGAGACACAAAGAGACTTTCAACCATAAGGAAAAGAGGCAAAAACAACCACAGATGAAAAGAAAAAAAACACAAAGGGAAACAAAATCATATAGAGATGCATAATAACTACAAAGAGAAGCAAAAACAACAACAGAAAGGGGCTAATCAACTATTAAATCTGTGTGTCTTGCCCCTATTTCGGAGAAGTAGCGGGGCCTCTTGCATGTCCGTGCCCAGGGGCCCACTGTCTCATAATCTGCCCAAGTCTTTTATAAAGGGTTCAAACTTTGCCATACAAGTAGTCTGGAGCCAGACTCATAACTAAAATGACCTCAAACTAAGTATGCCAGCAACTGCGCTATGGAGTACCCTCAGAGGACAGCTTAAAAAAAGGGATTAAAAAAGCTTCCTTGTTTTGCCTTCAGAGCCACGAGCAAAAGCAGCATTGTTTTATTTTTAACCCTGCTAATAATACTCCTCACCATGCCAGCAAATTAGCCACAAAACAGAACACATGCTCCGTGTAACTTTTGAATATGGGACAATTGATAACAGGGACTACTGAAAATGTCAAGGTGTTGACATTGTTTCTTGCTGAATGAGCCACAACCTGCCATAGAGAATCAACAGGAAACCAGAGAAGAATGGACAAAATGTCAAACTGCTGTCTTAACGCTTATACTCAGCACTGTGGGAAACAACACAGAGTAACCCCATCCAACAAACACTGGTCAAGGAATACAGTAATCCACTTGAAAAAGCAGCTCGTGTTGAAAGCAACACAGTGTTTAATCCTTGTGGCTGAATTCCACTGCAAGCCTCTTATCTTGCAGAGAATGCAACAGTTTGCTCACACAGCCTTGAGAAAGTGTTTCTTGTCAAACCCGTCACAGCATGTCCTGTGATACAGAAAATCTCAAACACAGAGAAAGATCAGCAGTCCACAAAGCCCTTCAAAAACAAACAAAAAAATATGGATGCTAATAATGATAATCAGAATGTTGCACTGTAAAGCAAAGACAAGTTCAAACCAAAGTGTGGAGTCACAGAAGAAAACTGTTTCAACACCATTGCTCAGCACCCAAACCCAGTTTAGCCTAAAGCAGCAGAGTATCTTAATCCATACATGAGCTTCAAGTCCCAGCAGCCCCTGAGTCCACAGTGGCAGCAGAGGCCTGATCCTACCTGGCCTTGGCCCACGCGATGGCTCTGCCCGAGAGCAGCAGCAGGGCTGCCGAGCCACTTCTCCCCCACGGCATCCTAATGTTGTCCCCCAAAAACTGCTGCGAGCTGTAGGAAACAGCAGCTGCCTGCCCCTGGCAAGCTGTTTCCTTGTAATCTCTTCAGCACACAAAGACATTAGAACAAGGACGGTCTCACTGCGCCGGTAGACACGTCACTACATCGCATCCTGGGGCAGGAAAGGAGGTCTGCGTGGGGGAGGTGGGGAGCCGGCGAAGGAGAGGAGCTGAGTGGTTGAATAGCTGACCGGGGCCGGGACACAGACAGTGTGAAGAGACTGTCTAAAGACTGGGCAGAGGACACAACAGCTGCATGCCTGACTGAGTGGCGGGCCAGCCGGCTGAGTGTTTGGATAAAGTTATGCTGCGGCTCATTTCCACCAGTGGGACAAAGAAAAATGGAAAACATCCTTTGTGTTGGTGGCAACATGCTCACTTATTCATTTACTGATTTACTGAAACGCAGAAATCTGCTCGACCTCTGGTCTTTTGTCCTTGTGGTCGTCATCAGTAACCGGAGGCCAATTTACTGTCACTTATTTACAGCAGGGCTGAATATCAATGGATAGCAGAGGGGTCTCAGCTTGGAAAAGAGGCACTTGGTCCAAAGGTGTCCACAGACAATTTTAGAGGCAGGAGTGAAATAACAATGGCTTTTGAACTTTGGATCAGGCTTGTGAGAGGGAGGAACACAAGGCAGAAAACCAGAGTGCAGCCTCCGTCCTCTGTTACTGTTTTTGGACATAACATGGTTTGGCACAGTTTAAGACATTTTAATCTAGACTTACTTTTATCATACGAACCCTTTCGGATACCATAGTAAAAGTTATTTATTATACTGTGCGTTGATTGAAACTAACTGCCAAAAGATCTGAGACTATAAACTGTGACTAGTTTTAGTTCCAGGCCAAAATGTTTTATTAAAATATAAACCTACTACAAATTGCTTGTTTGACCATTTTATCTGGGTGTGAAACCACTTTAAAGTTTTTGAATAAATTACATGGTATCAGATCAGGGCATAGACTTGCATACTCGCCAATACCCAAGCCAGCATTTTAGACAGTATTGAAGGCATTTCCAATATTGGTATTGGTAATAGAACAACACTTTAAGCAAATCATATTCAATTGCATGAAATGGGCTTCACAAAGAAATTAGCCCCGCACTGTCTTCGCTTTTTTGGCAACACTGGGTCCTGGATCCTTCTTAAAATTTGGTGGCTTTGACTGTCTTCAGCTGGATTTCCACACAGGTGGGTTGGTGCACAAACTTGCTGAACAGAGCTGTGACAGATGTTGGATTTATTATGACGTCATAATTGATTGCAAAGTGAAATTTCAATGAGATTTGCTGTATTTGTCTCATTAGTAGAGAGCCTTGGCTCAACACAAAGGATTGTACCTTGTAACACAGCAGTGTTGGGTAATCTTTAGATTATCAGAAATCTAGTGTTTCTAGCAACGTATGTGAGCTACTCAGTGGTGTGTATTTGATAATGTGACATTTCAGACTGTTCACAGGAGAAATTTTTTTAAACCACGGAGACAGCAGGTCATCCACTGATAATAAGATCGCCGGTTTGGTCCCTGGCTCCTCCAGTCCACATGTCGAAGTATCTTTGGGCAAGATACTAAACCTGAAGCTAAAACTGAACTGAAATGGCTGTTCCATCGGTGTGTGAGTGTGAGTGTGTGGCTGCTGAGTACAAGTGACACAGTGTATGGTAGCCTCAGCCACCTGTGTGTGAATGGGTGAATGTGACATGTAGTGTTAAAGCGCTTTGGGTGGTCGAAAGAGTAGAAAAGTGATATATAGGTGCAGTCCATTTACTGAGAGGATTTATCCTTAGACACTGCGTCTACAAATAACCCAACTCTATCTCCTAGAAATTACTTTTGGATATTACTAAAATTACATTCATAATTACGTTGTGGTGACAGGATTTGTGCACAAAACTGTTCCTCTATAAAATTGCTCCCATGTCAAAACACAAATTAAATATCATATCCAGACATACAGTGTATAAATTGTAAATTAAATACAGAATCAATTGACACTTTAATTCAGTGTAGCTTAAATCAAACGCGGCTCCTCTCTGCTGTACAGTGTAAAGATATCTGGCGGGATCAGTATAGTCTGTGCTCTAAGCTGCTGGTGTCTCAGCTCTTTGGCAGTCTGCCAAGTCACTTCTCACACTCCGTTTGTCTCTAACCAGATCAACACAGATTAGGGAGACCACAGGGTTCCCTCTTGGGATTTCACCGTCCTCACCAGCTCTATCTCTACTCAGAATATCTTATTTCCCCCTCCTCTCTGAGACATCTTTGTATTCTAAAACAATGGACAAATGCTCTGTGGTAACCTCAGTGATGTGTCTCACTCTCTTCACTCTCACCTTGATTTAGGTCCAGTAAAAACCACCATATCTGCTCTCCTGTTACTTCCCTCTTGCCACATCCTTCCTTAAAATGTTTCTTCCCTTTCCCTTGACTCATATCTCTGACTGCTGTTCCTGCTAAATCAAGGCCTTTCTCGCCTTCACTGACACCGCGACCTTAGCTCGCAGATACACCTCGAGGAAAAGGAGAGTGGAGAACGTGATGGCATGTCACAGTGTGACCCTGCAGATGGCATGTGACAGCCAGCTCAGCCTCTTGGCCTGCTCATCCACCTCTTGGCAAGTAGAACACAGAGAGTGAAGGGGAGGGGAGGACAGGAAAGTGGAGCAGAATACAGGAGAGAGAAAAATTACAAAAAGAGAAAGGAGGGCAAATGCTGACAGAGAAGGATAACACAGGAGAGGAAACAGGGTGTGAGAGGAGTGGAGGAACACGGACAAACACCCTAATGCCATGTTTCATTATATTAGTACTGAAAGCCTGTGCTAAATGGTTAAAATATGAAAATGAATCAAGGAGAAACGAAGAGAATGTGGCTGAAGCAGATTGATTGACACTTCCAGATGGTTTGACTACCAAGCAAATGGTGACACAGAGCCAGAATGATGCAGCCTGTCACTCACACCAACAACTCACAACACATAATTAAAGAGGTGTTTGCATGCCTGTATGCTGTAAATACTCACACGTGCACAGACGCGCAAATACAACAGAGGCAGAGTTGATTTGATGCAGCTGATGTAAGTTTTCAATCTAATGACATCAACACTATCCCACATAAACCAACAAAAAATACAGCAAAGGGCAAATCTGTTCAGAACGGTTTAGTCATGAGGAAAAAAAAAATATACATGGGATGAAGAACGGGTCATGCACCAGTGATTTTTATCTTATACGTACACATAAGCAGGACTGTGCCGTGGCGATCGAATTCCTGCCTCACGCCCACAGCAATGTGGGTGTTTCCGTTCATCTTTATTTATGGCTGCAAAGTTTGCCACGTTAATTCATCGGGGCAGTGCAGCTGAACTTCTGAAAGTTCTGAAAGCACAGATGGGAAGTTGAGTTGGAGAAAGCTTCAATTAGCTGCTCATAAAAACAAATTGTAACATCATTCAAAATGCGCAAGGTTTAAATGAGTGCAAAGGGGAAAATAACTTCACGGTGGCCATCCCATTACTGTGCATCACTGATATTTTCTTTCCGTTTAAAAAAGGCTCTTATAGCAGAGGTTCAAACTGTTTTCAGTAGGCTGAATCTATAAATTATTACCAAATGAGCTCATTAAGGACTGTGGAAAGTCTGAATTTAATTGTGTAAGAAAAAATAGGACAGCAACATATCAACTGTAGTTGGCGTTAGCTTACATTCAGATTCAGGCTCGTTTATGTTGGTATGGAAAATATGCAGTCCTGGCGAGTTTATAAAGATAATAACCACCTTTGGTCTGGCGGTGACAGCTCATATTCTCTAAAAAAGAGGATGTCATGACTATGAACTCTTTGCTCTTTCCCTTCCACCCAACACTCAGGCAGTACATCACCATCACACCTTACTGAACATTATCAGTACCTTATAATCTTATGACTAACTGACAATAAAACAGGCAGTGAGTCTTCACAGAGGAGCTATAAATGGACCTCTGACTTTAATTTACATGATCATAAAAACCACAGTAAATGACTGAAACATGATCCGCAGCATGTCTTTCCTCATGATCAGGTTAAACTAACTTCCTCGACTGTATCTCCTGCACAGAACCACTCTTGCTAATGGCAGCAAATATTTATCTTTATATGTTCGTGTGAGTCCAAATCCTCCCTCGCAAACAGATTTCGTATTGCGTCAACCAAAACATGGGTATGTGGCTCACCGCAGCTGCCTACCTGCCTGAGCCGTGCACGGCTTAAGATATGAGCAGTGACAGCTGGAATACCTTCTCTTCTCTCGCCATATGGAGCAAAAGTGGATTACAAGAGGAGTAGTACTTTGCACAGACTCTTACTTACTTGGAAGCACACACCCTCCGCCTTTTCTCCTAAGGTATTATAATAGTAGGTTATAACAGGGTGACATAGTTTTCTAATGTATACCTGGAACAATCATACTGCCATGTGTTCTCATTGATGCACACTACTGACAGTGAGCTAAAAAAAATCAGTAAACTCCACAATACTACATTAAGTTCTTTAAGCCTGAGCCTCATGTATGCTGGCCTGCAGCAAAATAAAACATATTAATTTGCTGAAATTGACATCAATAAACAGTTATATTCAAACATATCTGATCAATACTGCTATAAACAAGTACCGATCAATCATTTATTTGTTGCATAGAAATTATACAAGGAAAAAATCCAGTGAAATATGATCCAATCATCTCCTTTAACTTGTGTACTTTAATTTAGTACTTTTTGTGTCTTCTTTTAATGATCTCTCTTCAAAAAATTTAATTAAGTTTACTGTGGCAGTGATATCTAATGCCAATGACACACACTGGAAAGGCAGCTGTAACAAATCATCTTATTTTATTTTTATTCATTTACTGACATGTTTTTAAAGGTTTTCTGGACCAATAAATCAAGTAAAAGCAACAAGATATTTTAACGCAGAATGGCTGCCCCATATTTGATTATATTGGCAGACACTGCAATTGTGATATGAGTCATGATTTCAATGTGATTGGCAATTTTTGCATTTTGTTTTCTCTAATAAACATTTTGAAAAATGGTGATGATGTGATTTGTGCTGGGGTCTGTATCAAACAAACGTGTTCCCTTACATCTGGAAAATGATTTGTAGGCCTGGGCATCTCTGCAATACTACAATGCTGTATTTATAATTGTATGTTGTGACACGTTTTACCTTTATCAAAAAATAAAATTGCTGCTCCTGCAATTTGGATATTGCACTTTGCCACATTGCAATTTCAAAAATATTTAAATTAATTGTGCAGCCCGATAGTGCTATAAATACCAAAGATATATTTAAGGTTATTTAATAACAATAATAATAATAATAATAATCTTTATTTCTATAGTGCTTTTCTACACTGGAGTTACAAAGTGTTGTACAGTACCCTACAATATGACAAACAAGTAAAAGAACATCATCCACATTTAAAACAGTGTCTCACCTACATAGTTTGTCCATCAGAGTGCATTTCAACTATACATTACAAGCTGCTCGGCACATTTCTTGACCACAATAATCAAATTTAATGGATCTGTATCTAAAATATTTGTTAATATTATGTAAAATAATTAATATTTGTTGTCATATCAGATTTTTTTTACCTCTTAAATATGCAGCAAAAATATAGGAAAGTTTAATGTCATTCTTGCTTGACAGTTTAATATTCAGTCCGCCATTTTGTACTGTAATACAGGATCACAATGGAAATAAGCCTACTATTTTTTTATGTATTTTAATTTTGTATATTTCAATTTTAAATATCGTATATGGAGCCTGCCCCTCTATCTATCTATCTATCTATCTATCTATCTATCTATCAACAACTAAAACTATGTTCACGTGCGGCTGAACACATGCGGAAGAGCATAAACGCCCATAGCAACAGGTCCGGATACCCTAGCAACCACTGAAGCTTCCCGACCGGAGACACAAAGCCAAACGGTAAAACCTAAAACACATAAAACCACATACAACTAACTTTAGGGCAACTATTTTCCCTCTGTTTCTAACATACACGTCTTCTTGTGAAGTGTTTTCATCAGTAAACTGACGTTTTTAACAAACTGTAAAATGTTAGCTAGCCAACTGACAACAAAGAGATGCCCTAACTTACCTGAGGAAACACCGTCGACATCCCTTTGTGCTAAGAAGGCTCCACTCAACTTAAAAAGAGGATTTTTCCGTGTAGTAGTACAGCAGTGATGAGTCTTACTGTGTGTGGTGACAGCAGACAGATGGCGGGACGGGAGAGGAGCCCTGAGAGATGTGAAGCTGCTGCTCTCCTCCTCCTCCTCCTCTTCCTCCTCCTCTGCTTACCGTCCACGTTATCCAGCGCACCTTGCGGCTGACGTCACCACGCCAACAACAGCCGCAGTGCCATATGACCAACTGTGGTCTCTACAACATGCTCCACTTTGGATTTTATTTACACATTAACAGGAGACTCACACTCCTCTTTACCTTTCACGTAGCAGAAAAAAATGTCCCAGTTAAAATATAGTTATGTGATCTGTTGTTGTCATTCCTGAAACTTCATAAATAAAACATAAATTTGGATTAAGAGCATCCTAAATTAAACTCCCATTTGCAACTCATAATCTCCCTTCTAAAAGCCTGTCATCTGTCAGGTGTAATGGGATCTGGAGTTTTTAAATGTAGGCCTCCTAATCATGTATTTATCTGTTTTTCTTTTGTAGTGATGACTATGTGAGTGCTTAGTTTTTGTATTAATTCTGCTTAACTTGTTTCTTTTTTAAAGATATTTCCATGCGTTTGTTAAACTCAAAATACTGTGCATTGTTGGCAAGGGTTGGGAGTAGGTGAGTTAGCCTATGTATATGTAAGAAATTTAAAATACGTCCCTTCCAGTGCTCTGCGCACATGATCCATATTTGCACTTGACCTTAAATAAAAAGAGATATTTTTAAAAAGGTGCCTCGATCATCCAAGTATGGACAGACAGGAAAACCTCCAGGACACTTATTGTAAAAGATAAAATAAAATAAAATAGAATAAATTTGAATTGAATTGAACTGAATTAAATAAAATTATATTATTCGATTAAATAGAATAAAATACTACTACTATGACTACTAATATTACTATTAATAATAATAATCATAATACAAGTAATAAATAAATAAATGTACATGTACATTGTATAAAATACTGGAGGATAGATAAAATTTTCTTAACTAAATTAAATAATTTTAACACTCAGATTTTTAGTGATGAACAAAAGTTTTTTTATGGTCTAAAACATGTAGACTCATCAGAACAATAATTTGGTTAAGAACTAGGAAATACAACTTTATGTTAATTCAGCAATTTTATTTGGTAAATTTTACATCCATACAGAAATTATATTGTGTCCCTAAAGCTTATTAATTAGATCATATAATTAAATGAATTTAAATAGATTGGAAAAAGAAGGGTTTTTTTTACTTTTTATTTTTATTTTTATTATTTACTTCATTATTATTGTATTCCCTTTATTCATTCATATTTTTTTCCAGTCTTAATCTAATCAATACCTAATTCTCATTCCAAGTAATTCTACAATATTTTACGTAGTTTATCTTTAGGCACTTTTAAATACATTATAATAATGGATGTCTTGGTTCTGTATGTGATGATTGAGTATACAAAGGCATGTTAGAGAGCAGCCTGACTTGTCTCTGCAGCCACAAGCCAACCACAAAGAAGGAATACAGGTTTGCACTGACATATTATCTGACATTACAACACGAAGACTGTGTTGATGTATGCAACCAGACGCTGACTCTGTATACTTGTGGTTGTCATGGACAGTGAGAGTAAATATGAACACCTGTGGTGATGTGAAAGACAGGATGGATTACTGTTTGGACCATTGGGACCTGTTCTAAGGTGTCCACTGACCCTCTTAGTATCAGTTAGGGACACAGGAGCAAATGTCACAAATGTGGAATATGAATAGCGCTGGAATCTGTGTGAGTCAATAACAAAACAATGCAACCAAATTCTTTGCACAAGGTCATCTTACTGAAAGAGCATAAAGATGCAGCCAGAGGCTGGAAGGTTTCCAGTGACGGCACCCTGCGCTGAGAATTGTGTGTTTTTCCAAGGTCCATTAAAAACCTTCACAATCAACAATGTATCAGTCATTATATATAAAATGACACATGCCTATTCAAAGCCTCGGCTGACTCACCGTGAGATTACTGCTTCCTTGAACACGGTCACAGCTGTAGAAATGAAACATGTCTGGATATTTTTAGCCATGGCAACAGCACAGCTGCAGGGATGGTAATGTCAGTCAGTCAGTTGGTCCACCACTTTGGTCCAGACGAAAATATCTTTACACCAGCTGGACAGATTGAAATTAAATGTGCACATTAATGGTCCCCAGACAATAAATCCTAATTGCTTTGGTGATCCCCTGACTTTCCCTGTAGCGCCACCAGCAGGTCAAACCTTTTACTTATTCTGTGAAACACTCAACATGTACAAGATGGATTGGCACAAATGTTTTTATGTTTGATTGGATTTCCATGAAATTGTTACAGACATTCATGTTCCCCTCATTTTAAGTTTGTCTAACACTTTGGTTTATGAGCAGATACCTCCAAGACTAGTTACATTTCCATCTGCCTCAGCTGTACTCTGTGTTTAGTGCCAATTGGCTAATGTTAGCATGCTAACACTCTTAACATTTGCTGTTACTACCTTCAAATGGAACTCGTGAGCTTGTGGTAACAGCATGAAGAGACGTATACAAAATACGCTAGCAGTTCCAGTGGTTATGTTGTGAGAACACCATGGCTAGGCAACAATAACGTGAACATAACTGTTAACGTCCAGACGTCACAGAGGCAAGCTACCGTAATGCAGGAAATAAAAAGGCATAATGAATGGTAAATGATGAACGGACTGCACTTGCAGCCTATAGCTCTTTTCAAGTCTTCCAACCTCTCAAAACGCTTTTTACACAACATGACACATTCACCCATTCACACACAGTCATACACTGGTGGCAGAGGCTACCATACAAGGTGCCACCTGCTTCTCAGTAACCCTCCACACGCACTCGCACACCGATGAAACAGCCATCAGGAGCAATTTGGGGTTCAGTGTCTTGCCCAAGGATACTTCGACATGTGGACTGGAGGAGCCAGGGATAGAACCGCTGAGCTTCTGAGCTCTACCTCTGACAGAGGAAAAGGGTTAGGCTGTTGGAAACGTTAACATTTTCCTCAGACATGTAATAAATTAGGAAGAGAAAACTGTATATGACAGGTGGCACTGTGGAGCAGTGGTGAGCATTGTCGCTTGCCTGGTTCCAGACCATAGACCCCGCCCACTCAACTGAGTAGGCTTGCATCTCTGGTCTGGCATACTGCAATGAATTTGTGATTTATCTCGTCCAAACGATGGACGGACCAATGAACTCCGGGGGTGTGGGCGGGTCTAGCGATTAGCCAATCAGCACCACGCTGATGTCAAGCTGTATGCCGGTGGGTAACTGGTGAGGATAGCAACAATGGCGACTGCTACAGATCCTACAGACCACATTAACGATGCTATCGAGGTATTTCGCCACTACTTGCTTTAATGGAGGATCAAACTAAGGAAGCTGCTAAACTGGATTTAACGGCGATGCAGCTGGGCGTGCACAGCGACGGAGACATTTTAAACAGGCAATGCTCGCTTGTTTTCACCACCCCCGAGGCATGGATACTAATGACGTCAGATTCTGGGTGAGCTGTTGATCTCTACTGATTAGTTAGGGAAAAATCAAATTCCCTCCCCCTTGTAAATCGCCTTCAATGGAGGCGATGTCAGACTGAAGGTTCTGGGAGCTTCAGTCTGACACTCAGGCTACATTGTCGCCTCACAGCAAGAGGGTCCTGGTTCGAACCCAGGGTGGGGGAGCCCCTCCGTGCGTACTCCGGCTTCCTCCCACAATCCAAAGACACGCAGGTTAGGTGAATTGGTGAGTCTAAATTGGCCATAGGTGTGAATGTGAATGGTTGTCTGTCTCTACGTGTCAGCCCTGTGATAGTCTGGTGACCTGTCCAGGGTGTGCCCCGCCTTCCACCCAGTGTCAGCTGGGATAGGCTCCAGCCCCCCTGCGACCCCAAACAGGATAAGCGGTTACGGAAAATAAATGACTGAAAAAGTAACATCCATGGGCTCCGCCATTTCTGAAAACACATCACAATTTGTGAATTTCCACTTGCGAGGTCATGAATACCACAAGAGGAGGGTGTTCATATGAACTCTTCATGTAAACACGTTAAACACGACTCCTTTTGAAGGTGTTAGCATTTAGCTCAGTGCTACAGTCTCACAGAGCTGCTAGCATGGCTCACAGTCATGTTTTACTATGGTTGGTGTGTGCAGTGTTAACATTGGCTCTGAGTTTGGCTTTAAATGGTCTAAGCTAATTAAATAAATACACTTCAAGCTAATCAAAATAGGATCTCCATTGCGTTTAAGAGATGTGCCTGTAATCGACGTGTAGCCTATGTATGACACACATTATGTTCACTCCTGTCTCACAGCTCTCATATTGCTCATGGAAATAAATCTCTCTTGCTGTCGATACAGTGCTGCAGCGAGAGTTATTTATTTGTAGATATCCCATTCCTAACATTCTGTAAACGCAGCCTGACTCATTCGCTCCACCCCTGCAGTGTGTCTAGTTGCAGCTTCTAGGTGGAAAGATCATCCCTCCTGGACAGATTAATTCTCTCTGGCATCCTGTTTTTGTTTTCATTGTCCTCTCAGCTTTCTTGCAGACAGTCCGGTTCATTCCAGGGTTGTGTGAATGTGCGTGTGAGTGTTTGTGTATGTGGGCAGGAGACAGAGAGAGAGAGAATGTGAGGAGGAAACACACACACAGACAGAGAGAGAGAGAGAGAGAGACAGAGACAGAAAAAAACAGAAGACAGAGAGACACAGCGATAGAGAGCACAGAGGGCCTGTAAAGCAGCCCACTCTCTTCCTGCCATTGTTTCATCTCAGGGACCCACATGAGGCTCAGCTAGGCTCTACGCCTCCTGGACATCAGCTTGCTCCCCCTCCTCCCATTGGCCCACTCCCCTTACGGCTGCTCTGCGTTTCCATGGAGACAGAGAATATGCCTGCAGATTATTGCATCCCCCACTGAAAGGCATTCATGGAGGCAATAATACAGCACAACCTGACTGTTAAAAGAGCAACCTGGAGACAATTCATGTGCGGTGTCACCTGAGAAATGTTACAGGAATGGGTTTTATTTCACTTTATATGGTTTCACATAATGTTACAGTCCAATGAAAACCATATATCTCCGAGAGGGGCAACAAAGAAGGAACTAGAATGAATCCTATTGACTTCATTGATTCCCTG